TCATATATTGTTTCATATATGTTATACCCACTAACGCAAATAAAAACACACAAATATTCTTAACCAATTTACGTCGTTTCCCAACTTCACCAGTACCCTCCCACCCCTGGATTGATAACAAATTACAAAATATTTCGTTTAATCCCCACGGAATTCAATAAAATATTTTATATACCAAGATTATTTTAAATTAATAGCATGTAACGTTGGTCATTAACGCAGGTCATTTTAACGGTAGTTTAAAAGGAGTCTTAAAAATGTCAATTCTCATTTATATTCTTCTACTAAACAATTATGTGACGACGATAACTTGATAGCCAAACCTTGTTTAGAAGAAACTTTGAGCCATTAAGATAGAATAATCGCAATAATAAAAGTGAAACAGTAATTTTTAAAGTTTGTACTTGAAGTACTTAATACTCACAAATTACAGGACTAGGCTATTAAAGCGTGAATAGCCCGATAAAATTTCTATGCCATCTGAAAGTGCTAATTTATAAAAGCAGCAATGGGTGTTTGTTTTTTCTATTTAATTTATTTTTTTTAACGTTTAGAACACTATTAACTGAAAACTAATCCGATTAAAGCGTCATTAATTATAAGTACCTTTTAATATGGAGTCTCACGATACAGAAACTTCTTTATGTCAGCAAAACCATTTTCAAATAGACTTTTTTTTATATAGTTCATTAATTAATTACAGCAGAAGAAATACACAGTTTTTCCTAATTTGCTAAATGCAATTTAATAAATAAAAATCATTCAGCATACCCATCACATAAAATTTGATATTCCCATATTTATTCAAGTAATGGGGGAGATGAGTAGATTAGTGAGTTAGGCACTGGATAACTAAGCTTAAAATAGCGTCTGACTCATCAATTTCCTTTTTTATCATGTAAAAAAGTATAGTAAGCAAACAAGCTCTAATCTGCATATCATTAATTCAAACAAATATTTATGTAATTATTGTACGTTTAAAATTGTAGAAACGCTAATGGCGAAGTTAATTGCTGCAATATCCCCAAGAAAACTACCTTTTATGTGTCTTTATAGAATATGACATAACTTCTTTTTTATATTTCTTTCATACTTGTAAAGAATTCTTCGTGATGATGCGGTAATAAAAGTACTTTATCACGAAAGTAGGGTCGCAAACATTTATTGATCCCGTACATTACTCTCCTCCCTTCCAAAAAACTAATGACGGGTTCAATTAATGGGCGAACCCATGAGGCTATTAAAGAGGTCTTTACCTTCTATATTGCCTACCTCCTTGCTGGGGAAGAAAAACATGGAAAAACTTTTATTACAACCAAAGCGTTTCTCCTCTTTCCACCATCCCTGTCTTGCTTGTGAGCATTCAATTTCCGGCAGATACTGGAGATCTGAATTACTCCAAACTGCGGTTTGCAGACTCCATCTTGTGAAGACACTTCCGTGCCCGCTTTCAGAAACTCATTACATGGCGCCATGTAGGCAGGGGGATAAGTTTTCAAATGCACCACACCGATTGTTCTCATTTTAACTTATATAGAAAATTACTTTTGGAAATACGATCACAAAGGTGTGTAATCAAAGGGAATGAATTACTCTGAATGATATATAATCTTTTGGTCAAATAATTTAAAAAATCTTGTAGAATTTTTCAAAATTATCTATTTGTATAGAAAAAAAAAAGGAATTAGTTTATCATTAGGTATTAGCATATCAATTAAACAACTAATAGTTATTCAAAATAACAAATCAATAGCGAATCCAGGATTTAATTTTTGGGGACTTAAGCCCGAAAGCTTTTTCATTTATATGTGAATATATATACATAAGGATAATTAGAACGGAAAAGAAAATATAACTACCAATATGAAATGATTCTTGAAGCCCTATTTAAAAAATAAAATAAAATATCCATATGTCCAAAAAAGAATATAATATAATATATAAATATATATATATATATATATATATATATATATATATATATATATATATATATATATATACATTCATATACATAACTACACGAAAATAATGCTTTTAGCAATAATTTTATAATATTTTCTCATAATACATAGTTATATTTATTAGCGGTATATGCATTATAATAACACATTGTGATTATTTTTTTATAGTTAGGGGCGAAGTGGCCAAGCGGGCTAACGCGTGTGCACAGCACCGCGTTGCACTACAACCTGATGAAATAATTACTAGTTCGAGTGCCGTGCCGGTGCCGGAAGACTTTTAATTCTGATATTAATCCCCCGTCCTCACCCCATGGCCCAGGAAAACCGTGTATAATCTAAAAGGCGAGGAAGAGAAGGACAAAAAAAAAAAAAAAGAAGAAGAAGAAAGAAAGAAGATGTCAGAAGCTCTGGGCCGCCACTGCTTGAAACGTTTACATCCTATTGAAAACCAAAAACAACTAAAGAACTATAGTTTCTAGCCATTTCAAAAACACTGAAGGTGATATATCCCTTACATTTCATACTGGTAAATTCTGCAATTATTTAAACATTAAGATACGCCTAAAATCTCTTGGAACAAAGTTTTCACTATCATTATCATTTTCACAATTAAAAAACTTTATTGTGCGATGTCATCGTCGAGACATATGAACGAACTACAGAACAACTGCTCTTTCTCATTAAGTGTTGCCCAAAATCGGTCTTGTTGGTCAAGACAGGTAAGAAAAAATCGTTTTTGTGAATAAAAATGAAGGCAAAATAGTCACTAATACTCGACAATTTTAGTTACTGTATGTAAAGAATTCTTATAAACAAAATACTTTTGCATTTAATTCTTTTTCATTTGGACTTAGTTAGCTTTTCCCTACCTGGAAAATTACAGTAATATCTCTATAGTAATCAGGTAATAGGTAACTGCAATAAATACTGTTGCGAGACTCGTCTTAGTCTCGCATTTGGGCAACACTGCTCTTATTATTCTGATCATTAACAAAGTTTTTTAATGGAAGTATTTAATATTTTGAACACAGAAAGGAGAAACATTAATGGGGAAAAGAAGTTAAGATTGGCAAAGCGAAAATAAACAAGCCGGAAGCGAGAAGGTCAAGAGTGAGAAGTAATGAGCCGCTAAGAAGATAGAAAAGCAGCACTTGGTCGAAAAAGGTTTGCCGAGGGAAGGGGGGGTACAGTGGGGGAGGGGTGTTTTCGATAAATAGCAGCCGCATTCCCCTGTCCAGCCGACCCCTCCAATTTCCTCCTAATATGAAACTGTCAGGGGACTCTCATTACATGGCCATGTCTTCAATTTAATATCCACCTAGCCCTTCGCTCATCCATCAAACACTCATACGAGGTTTTATTTTATCTAGTGCACACTGGATATATTCACCATTCAGTGGAGACTCCCAAATATCATTAGGAATAATAATAATCCATGTTAATCTCTATTGACTATGTTCACATACTGACACAATACATTTTTTACCAGTCTCACGAAAATCTATTGATATATGTTGTTATATATGTATATATAACAAGAACACGGTTATGGAACCAACAGATAACACAAAAAAATAATCAACCAATTCCCTAGTATTTTTTTTGTTGTTTTTAATTATTTCTACTACCCCCTTTTAGAGTTTCTTGCATATCTCTATCACAAATTTAATGAAAATATTTACAACACATTCCGTCAGCGACTCAACTATTAATTATTTCACATGTGATTCTATACAGGGGTGTCCAGAAGAGGGTTTGATTCGACGTTTTGGTGGGCTTATGAATTTTCGGAATGAAGTTTCAAATAAAGAGACAAGGAGAAAACACGGAACAGACAGCAGCGAGTGTAATTGTCTATGATCTACGATTTCTCTAATTCTACCTTTGCTTACTCTTTTTTTAAAAAGGTGAGCAATAGAATATCTTGGGAGGTTCTCGCAACATCGACCTTGTGGGAATGGATTCTATAGACCCTGGACCAATACTACTACAACCCGATACCGGACTTAGCCTCATCAAGATTTATCTCCATTCCTCTCTGTCTTGCGCTAGGGTCTGCTCCCCAACTGACGATCTATGCTACAGTGATATGTCTATTATTTTACAGGAAAATACGACAATAACAGATTACCTATATAAAAATAAATGAATGTTTAATTTGATTACGAAGGGTTTATTTATTTTATTTTACATTATATTTGCAACTGTGTTGAAACAGATCAAGCAAATTTGTAGTTTCTTCTATCTTCTTTATTCTTGATAATTATTGATATTATGAGCAGATCTCTAGTCTTGATTGAGGTAGGTTTTAATATAGTGGTGTAGAGTAGTCGCTCTTTTTGTCAGTTGAGTGGAGATCTTTAGTCCAAGAGATGCGACAATTGTTTGTGTCTTTGGATCAATTCTTGTTTAATTTGGTGCATATGTTCCAGAATGAAGGATTTAATTAATTTTTTAATCGTACGGAGTTATAAATTTAGCCCAACTCTTCCTTTTCTATGACCTTCGGAACAGTGCTATAGTCTTTATTATGCTTTAGTCTTGTGGGAAAATATAAATATGGGTATTTAAAAATTATAAGTGTGCCAACCTTTGCTACTTGTTATAATATTATATTGTTATAAATTAGACGTAATATGCAACGAATATGAATACAATAACACTATGTCTATAGGAATCGGAAGATCCTCCAGGGGCAAAACCTGTCTCTATAACGTGGGTACTCTTAATTAAATAAATAATTAAGGGGGGAAATCCGGCGGTTGAGTGCGATACTGGCCCAATCATCTGCCTGCACAACCTTTGGCCTTGAAACAGTACGTTCTAACAACGCACTGTTCCCACCAAAACCCTTCATGTCATGGGTTGTAGTGGTACAGGTTTTTTTAATGTGTAAAATATAATATTTTCAGATATGTTAGTACAAACCATATAACGTAATTTTACATAATTTTAAGAAACAAACAGCTTTCATAGTTTTTTTTTTCTGTTTACAACGCCATTGTATCATCATAATAATTTGTTGTTGTTGTTTAGGTATATGCTCAAAGCATTGGACCTATACTGGCATGAAGACTGCCTCAAATGTGGTTGCTGTGATTGTAGACTAGGGGAAGTCGGATCAACTCTTTACACAAAAGCCAACCTTATTCTCTGTAGGAGGGATTATTTAAGGTAATAGAAAATTTTTTAAATAATATTTCTGTTTTACATAAATATATCACCAAATTTTATATGCTAAGATATAGAAGTTTCCTTCGTAATAATGGTTCGTCATTTTCATACTTCATTAAATCAAAAATAGGATCACTTTCGCAAACCTTTGCCATTCGCAGTGTCTTTGTTGATTTAAAGATCTTTTGTAAGTTCAGACTCATTTAATGTTACGTTCCTCCAGCATAATAAGAAAGAAAGAAAAGAAAAAAACCTAAGAAAAGAAACTAATTTTGAACTGAGAAAATTAAGGTTAATTAATTCCTTTTGTCAATCATTCAATCCTGTTTAATTCGATTTTCTTTTTGTATAGTTTTTTATGGATCGGATTTAATTGCGTTTCCACATTAAGAAGTGAAATCTAATCGACTTCTTTATGTTTCATTCCGTTAATTATCTTTAATAAAAGCTATTATCATCAACCTCGGAAAATGAAATGGTTTATTGCTTTAAAAGGATTTTGTTTAGTGTTTTTTTTTTTCATTTAACTAAATTTAACTCAACAATGTAGTAAATTATTCTACTTTGAAATGATTCAAATGGACACAGGTATGTTGTGAAGTGTTATAGCTGCAACTCAGAAGTAAATCACTGATAAAATGAAAAGGAGAATTGATTTCAAAACTGTTAGGAGTAATTTGATTCCTACATTACGAAAATTGCAAGATGGTTGAGATGAAAGTAATTGGCGGTTCGGTCAAAGCGAAATAGCTTGATTATAGGGCATGAGGTTAGGTGGAGGAGTGGGGGAAATGTGCTACTAAGATTTCTGTGAAATAATGAAAATAGTATAAATACATTTGGAAATGGAATTGGATGAGTATATCAGTATCAGTAATCATTAAAATTATGTTTTCCTTCTTATCCCTCATAAATATAATGATTTCCAATAATTGTACCCCTGAAAACTATCATCTAGAGGACTTTCACTGTCAAATATTTAAATAATAATGGATATATGTGTATGTAAAAAATTGTATTTGTATATATTTATACATGTTGAATAAAATGAATCTGATTGTTAATTAAGCTATCAATTTTCGTTTCAACACTATTACATAATTTAACCATCAAGGTTAAAAGGGTATTACGCAAAAAATTTTATTAGTTGAAAATAGTTGACTAAATTGACTCAGCTTATTGGTTAATAGTTAAATGTTTCAATCCAATCATCAATAAGCGCTTGTTAACAGGATATTTTTCATTGTCTTATTATATTTGCAATTCATAGAATTATAAACTGGTAGCGTTTATTTTAATACTTAATGAAAAACAGCAAATGCACCCTTTTTCAAAATAATCCTAACTTCATTCTCTATTTATTTAGAATGAAAAAAGTTGAATACTTAATATTTAAATGTTTCATCCATGTAATAGTTTTCATTATGACCAATAAATGCATCTGTATGCCACACGATGTGACATTACATATGAAGTAAAAAAAAAAGAAATTGTCCGCGTGTTAGTAATAGGAAGTATAGTATTAAATTGTAAGAGTGTTTACAGTTTTATGACGGCTTTATACTAACAAAGGTTTTTACGAACAGGGTGTTTTAAGAAAACTTATAATACGTCAGCGTAAATAATATTTTAATTATTTTACCCTGCGATGTAAGTATACTCTAGATTGGTACAGATTTTTTAATTTGGAAATTAGTATTAGTTTCTATGTGCTTTAGTGAAATTGAAAATATTTGAGATGAAAACGGAAAGGTTATTGACGTCTCCTTGATTGATGTTATGATCTAAAAATTGGGTGAGGAATGAATTTTTTTTTATTGAGAAAATTAGTACTTTGAATAGTTATGCGGATTTTTAAGTTGAGCAGAGATTTTTTTTAATTTAAGAGTGGAAGTTAATAATTTTGAGTTAAACGGAGTCGGTATAGAAATGTGATTACAAGAGCTTTCGATAAATTTTAGGGAAATGGAATTAGAGCGGTATTTGAGATTAAATATTTGTTGTTCGCTAACTGTTTGCGAGGCACTGGTGGAGGTGACACAGGTTGTTGATGCGCGATTTAAGTTAAATTCGCGAAACTATTCAAAATATTAATTTTTTCAATAAAAAATTTTCATTCCTCATCCAATTTTTAGATTATAAAATCAATCAAGAAGACGTCAATAACCTTTCCGTTTGCATCTAAAATATTTTCAATTCCACTAAAGCACAGAAGAAACTAAGTATACTCCAGTTTTCAACAAAACAGGTCTAGAGAAAACAAAACAAATGGTAGTTGTAAGTAGAGAAACTATTATCTAATGTCGATTCCAATTTGCTAAAGAGTTTTCTTCTGCGTTGATTGAAGTTAAACCATTCTTGAATAAACTATCAATCTAACAAAAATAGAATTTTCAAATCGGACCGATAGTTGTTAAAACTAGTGCATTCAAATGAACTCTTTAGCTTTTTATATTATTGAAGATTGATGACTTGAGCTTTATTGATTCAGCTATGTATCTATTATGATTGGAGATAGATACATATATTATTGGAGATTGACCTGCAACTAATTCTCTATTGACGATATTGATAATTTTAATATTTATTTGTTTTTGCAGGCTGTTCGGAAGCACGGGTTATTGTTCCGCCTGCTCAAAAGTTATTCCTGCCTTCGAAATGGTGATGAGAGCGAGGACGAACGTTTACCACTTAGAATGTTTTGCCTGCCAACAGTGTAACCACAGGTAACGCTTGATACAATTTATTATATAAATGTTATTTTTCTTAGAAATGTATTTATATCTTGGTACCCTCTGGATAATGACCATGATCTCACTCTCAGTTCTCCATTATTGTGACATCCTTTATACAATAGAAATGCTTTCGCATATCCCCTTAATTGTTATTGCAATCCATAACCATTCGTTATTTTTCACGAAGTACCGATAATTCCATTTCCTCGATAGTCGTTAAACGTTCAAATATTGATAAGCAACATTTATTCCAATAAAAGATAACTCTTTAGTTCTAAACACAGCCAGTAAAAGTTTCTTTCAAACGTACAATTATATCACTCTTACATTTATTTTATACTCATCTTTTTGTTTATTCCTTCCTCGTCCAGGCCAGAGGAAGAGGGCGGGGGTTTTAATGTCAGAGTTAAAAGGCCCTCCTGGCACCGGGACGCGAACTCGTAACTTCTGTTATCAGGTTGCCGGGCAACGCGCGGTGCTGTGCACACGCATGCCCCTATTTTATAATCATTTATGAATAAAATAGATATCTCATTCGAAATGACGTTTCTTAGAAAACAATTTCTATGTTAGTTACTACTTTATTAATATTTTTCCACCTCTAATTAACCAAAAATGTAAATAATCGCACAAAGTCCCACTCTTCATGTCTGGTATTCAAAGATTTATGACCAATTCAGAAATTATATAGTAAAAAAATTCTTCTGCAATTTTCTTTCGAGTTTTAAAATAATTTTACTAGGGTTCAGGGCTAGAATCACTGAATTAATATCATGTATTTTTTTCATGTTACTAAAGTTCATAATTATTATTTCGTTAACAGATACCTCTTATGGAGAGGTATGAACGCAACATTTACTCGAGGATTAATTTAATTTCAGAGTTAAATGATATTAAAACTAATTGACAATTTCTCCTTCCTTTTATAGTTTAACGAATTTCAGTGGGGTCTTAAAAGCTGTTTACAGACGGCAACTCGCAAACGAAGAGGCAATCCACAGAAGGGAGTTGGAGCCTACAGATAAAAATTACGACTCTAGGGCTAATAGGGTTGTTGAGGCGAGTAATAAGACCACGTGGGGCCAATATAGGTTGTTATTAGCACAGCGGGGCTCCCTAGGGCTTCGCCCCCAGGCCCCATTCACTGAGGGCAACAGGTGAGTCCCACTGTAGGGAAATTATCTTCCCTCAATGGAGGCGTGCTCCTATGTAAAGGATTTACCTATCATTAGACCTCGGATTGTGGAAACATTAGTTGTTATCATTTAAAAGAAAAAATAATCCAGAGTGAAAACACCATTCTCGCTTAAGTGGTTTACTACATCGTCGTGTAGTATTTTGGACGTTATGAGTAGGACGTTCTCGCCAGTCGAATAGGTCGTTTGAGTAGAGAACGGCAAAATAGGAATTTTCAGAAAACATTATATGACTTCAATCATTCTTGCAAGCTGTGTGCTATAAGTAAAAATTAAGAAATACATCAGATTACAAATCACTCAGCATTTAATTATTGATTCCACGTTTTATCCATAATCATTTGTTATGAAAATAATGCCAAAAAACATATCAGTGAAATACTTTCATAATCTCATATATATAATAGAAAAAGTGAAACCGTCTCTTCAAGTAATACCAGTATCAAAATAATAAATGTTATGCTTTATTTCATTTTGAAGGATTTAGTTAATTTTTAATTGGAATCAGTACGGATAAAAAAAAAAGATAATTTCTTGACTTGTACCCAGATATCTAATCCATTAGTTCTGACGTGAATCATTGAAATTGGTGTCCTTGGATTAATCAACCAAGCTGGATGCTACTCAAATAATTATGTAGATAGAAAAGTGAATAGTCCAATACAAATAATTAAAATGCCAGATGAGAACTTTATTTTTGGCCCTGCTTAGAAAGGGCCTTCATATTGCCGCAAGGTATCCAAGAGAAACATCCTTTTCCCCTTTATTGAAAATATAAAGGGGTCCAAAACGAGGCGAGTATGTAAATGCGATGTATATTGACCCGTTAGATTTTTGCCAAAGTAGGATCAAACCTCCCAAAGTCAGAGGGGCAATCCACTTTAGACGATGAGGACCATTCAGCAGTCATCCCTCCAGCCTGATTTCACAGAGAGCCCTGGAATTAGATTACTCCCCTATAATGGAATGAGTTTTATTGCATTTCTTATTCTACATATATTAAAAAAGTTTTACTGCCCTACTCCTTATCTCCTCTCCCAGGATAAGGGCGGCCTGTATTAAACCTGATATGAAGCAAGTTTTTCAAATGTAATGGAACTCATGCGTAGAGTTCCATTTTTATTTTACACCTTTTAATTATAAGCTAGGAAGTTTAAGAAAATTATGTATATTTTTCTTTACTTTTTTATTCCGAGAAAGTAACATTTTTATTAAACAGCTAATACTATTAATAAGGTTATTGAATAAGTATATAATATGGAATGATTAAACATGGATAACTATGGATCAACACTTATTGAAAGAGACAAGGTCGTATCGTATTTCATTAGTAATTCTTTGAAAAAACAATTTTCGATCCTTGACCAATCTAGTCAATGTGGTAAAAATAGTATTAAAAATAGAATGGATGCCATATTTTATACCTTCTGTGAAAAAGACAACATTGAAGTTATCAAAGATGAGAAAACAAATACTTTTGAGACCTCTTATTCAGAAATAATTTCCTTGATAATAGTCCGTGATCTACACCCCCAAATAGTCAAAATAACGAGGTTTATAAAGGCCAAACGGCTCAATATTTTTTAAGCCCACCTTTTTTCTTGACTTTTTTATTCCGGGCAAGTAGCATTTTTGTTAAACAGTTAGCTAATACTATTAATAAGTTTATTGTATAAATATATAATATGAAATGATTAACCATGGATAACTATGGCTCAACACTTATTGAAAAGGTTGTTCTCAATCCTCAATCAAGTCCCTATCATGTTTATTATGTATCGTCACGATCAAAAAGGTCATCAGTAATTCTTTAAAAAATTAATATCCGATCTCTGGACCGATCTAGTCAATGTGGTAAGAATAGTATTAAAATATATAGATAACATATTTTACACCTTCTGTGAAAAATACAATATTGAAGTTATCAAATATGAGAAAACAATACTTTTGAGAACTCTTATTCAGAAATAATTTCCTTGGGGGACTTTGATAATAGTCCGTGGTACAGACCCCATTTTATCGAATTGTTAATATCCGGCTGAAAATTTGTAAATAGCGTCTTCTCATCGTAACCTATAGATATTTTATTTACGACAATTCTCGGAATTGCGGCGTTTTAAATCTGGAGGTCGACAAACTTTGTCTATTTAATTAGGTACTAAAAACTCGTAAATGCCCATTTGCTTTTCACTTGAATCGTAAGATAACTTGAGCATAAAGCCAAGAAAAAAGGTGGCCTTCAAAAATATTGAGCCATTTGGCCTGTATAACCTAGTTATTTTGACAATTTGGGGTTGTAGGTCAACATCAATATATGGCTCAATATTGAACCTTTTTTCTTGACTTTATGCTCAAGTTATCTCATGATTCAAGCAGAAAGCAAATGAATATTTACGAGTTTTTAATACCTAGTTAAATAGATAAAGTTTGCCGACCTCCAGATTGAAAACGCTCCAATTTCGAGAATTTTCGTAAATAAAATATTTATATGTCACGATGAGAAGAAGTTATTTACGAAGTTTCAGTTGGATGTGAATAATTCGATAAAAAGGGCTCTGTACCACGGACTATAAAGCGGTTTGCGTGAAAATTGATTTGATAACCATCATACGGAAGGTAATATAAGGATTAATTCAACTATATTTTCCGACACAAATCAGTTATAACGGTGTAGACAAAGTCGATGAAGATTTGGAAACAGTAATATCCCCTAAAGGTACGTTTACACGTTTCCAAAACAAGCTCTTGGTAAATAAAAAAAGGCTTCTCGGATTCCGAACTTGTGTCAGCAGTTTGTTTGTTTTTAACTACTTACTTGTTTGTTTTTAAAATTAATTTAAAATATAGTTTTTAAAAAAATGGGAACGTGAATATCGGTTGTGTCTCAAGCAACACCACCAACGATTTTCGCAAGCTGCGATTAAACTACAAAATAATATAATCAAATATGTAAACATTTAAATACCCCAATAAGGTAAATGCACCGCTAATAGACAGTTTTCAACTCATTGGCAGGTAAAAAGCTAAATACACTCAAAAGAGAGTGCAGTTAAGCAGCATTAAATTGCAATAAGCAGTTTTGCAAATTAAAATACTAAGGAATGTTATGACCGAACCTCAAGTGATGCCATGCCTCAATAGCCGATTGCCAGTTGATTTTTTAATAAAACAAGTGTGGCTTACTAAGCCTCAGTGTTTGTTTCAGAGAAGTTTCTTATCACTTTTCTTTAAGATATAAGTTTGTAATTTTGATTCATTCATTCATTGATTTGATACCTAAGAGAGCTATCTGAGTATAAGTATATATATATATATATATATATATATATATATATATATATATATATATACTTATACGCTTTTCTTGTCTTTTTTGCCTCTCTTCTTCTGCATTTTTACTTTTAATTAACTATTATTGTAAATATTTAATTTATTGATGACCACGCATACATATATTCTGTACTTAATTTGTTCTAAAGGGACAACAGTCCCACAATAATATAATATATTTTCATTTCATTCATCAGTAGTTTGTCATTTCGTACAATTAGTTTAAAACTGTGCAGAATTTTTTGTTAATTATATAAAACAACTTGAGGATCCAAAAATCTAGCTGCCTATTACTGGTATAATAGTAAAAAAATGTTCTAAATTTTTCATGAAAAATCAACTTAGGTTAAATCATAATGATAAATCAACATGATAAATCGATAAAAGATTACCATATTTGCTGTCAATTTAATCTATCTACAAAGATCTACCTTCTGGACGAACTAAAGCCGTGTTTCACTTTAA